AAAGAGAAAAGAATGTGAAGTGTCGCGTGGACTCTGGGGAACAGAAAGGGCAGAATGATCTCATGGGCCTGCTTCGTAGCCACTCTTTACCTTTTTGAAAAGTACAGGGGCTTTCAGGGCTGCGATTTTCAAGAGGTGCCAAAAAGTCCCCCAATAAATCAGACAATGAAGATTTTTCCAAATTCTCTAAGATGACGATGATTTTCTTGTTCACAGGAGATTGTTTCACTGGGGTCAGGCATGCTGTGGTCAGAAACAAAATTCAGTGATTCAAGCTTTTACAAAAACCTATATGAATTGGCAAAAATTACAAAAGTCTGAAGATACAAAGTATTGGCAAAGGTGTGGCACAATGGGTGTGCTCTCAAATTGCTGCGGAGTAAATATAAGGATGCTGGCAAACAGTTTGGCACTACGGATTACAGTGCAGACACACACACACAACCATCCAATACTAGTTCGTAACAGATCCTGATGGAATTGACCCCGTAGTCCACCAACAACAGAGTGATAAATCAATAGGAGTATATGCATACGGTGAATGTCAAAGTGAATGACAACCACAAACAACAACATGGAGGGCTGTCACAACAATAAATTAAGAAGCAAACCTCAAAAGCATACATAGAATATGATTTTATCATGTTAAGCTCAAACATGGGCAACACTATACATATAATTCAGGGATTCATATATAGGTAGTAAAACTATAAAGAAAAGCAAAGAGATGGTGATCACAAAAGACAGACTAGCAGTTACCTGTAGAAGAAAGGGCTAGTGAACAGAGAGGAGCTCGTGCGCACGGTCTGGAGCTGGGAAGATTCTATCTCTTGGCCTTGGCAGTGGTTAAACGGTTATTTTATTTTAAACGATTCAGTGATCTATATATATAGGTAGTATGTGTTTTATAGATGTACATTTCATGACACAAAGGTCCAAGCCCTTTAAATAACCTTTAAATTACACATGTATAAGATAATCATAAAAATATGGAGATAGGACCTCAGTGCGATAAGCAGACACTTCCTTTTATTTTACAGATTTCAGCGAGGTTGTAATGATGTGACTAAGGTTTCAGAACAGTGGTAACAAAGGATTAAAATTTAGGACCCCTGAGTCTTTAGTGCTTCTCCCACTAAAGACAGGAAGACTGAATTGTGTATCAACCCCAAATGAAAGATGAGAAGTAAGTGGAAGATTATTATATGTAGGAAAAGAGTAAGTCAGTGAACAAAATGTACCTGAAACAGTGCCTCACACCTATGAAGTACTCAAATGTTATTAATATTTTAGTTAAAATGTAATAATATATAGTATTTTATTTCCTATATACCAGTGAATTAATTTAAAAAATCACTTTTTAATTGTTTAGAAGATTCTAAGGGCCCCAGTGTTAGTTCATTTATCCTTGAGAAAAGATCAATTTAAAATATTTGAGCAATTTTGTCAAGTATTCCACTTTTCACAAATACTCATGCTAGTATATTATACTCCCTTCCTTCCTATTACTATAGACACAGTGCACTTTCACTTTCAAAAGAACTCCTGAGTGCCGGCTGAGTGGCTCAGTTGGTTAAGAGCTCACTCAAGAGCGTGAGCTCTGAGCAACAGCATCGCCGGTTCGATTCCCAGCCCGAGCTGAGTGGCCGCTCAAACAGGTGGCAGGATGGCTCAGCTGAAAAAAAAAGAACTGAAACACTGAAAATCAATTTCTTGAAACTGAAATTGTTTTTCTGGATGCTGTAAAGCTTTAAAAATTAGAAGACTAGGAACAGTAACAGCCACCTCTCAATTTAGTCATATTTGTTGGGGCCATTACACTAGTGTCTTCTGGATTCTGGGTCCCCTTCAAAACAGTTATTCAGTAAAAAGTATTAAAATACTATGCTTCTCAGGGTTCCAATGTTCCTTCAGAAATACATTTATTATGGAAGTATGATAAGTCTATAGTTTGTTAAAACAACGATGATCAAGTAACAGACCGGAAATTAAACATAGGCCAGGTTGAACGGTTTATGTATCTGCTTTCCTGTAACTAAGGACGGGAGGTATCCAGGTTTCCCTTGATTTGTGTTCAGTGTCTGCCCAGTTCCAGTGGCTGCCAGCTAGCATCTACCTGCAGGAGCTGTGTCCAGTGCCCCTCGTTGTATGTCCTATGCTAAGTGCTATGGTATACCAGAGGCGACTGACTCTAACGGGGGGATGTGGCATTTTAAGCTGGACCTATTATGAAGAATGGCATCGTAATAGATGGAGAGGTTAGAGGAACGCTTCCCAGGTCTCAGAAATGGCATAGGCAGAGAATGGAGGCTGGGCAGGGCTCAGTCCAAGAACGCCAGAATAGCTGAGGAGTGGCCCGATGGTGACCTCAAAGCTGATACCTCCCTCCAGTCAGGCTGGCTAGGAGCTTGGGGTGGCCTCACACAGTGGAATGGGTTCAGGCAGCCTGAACTGCGCGCAGCGGCACAGCAGGCTGCATCCTCCCTTAAGATCCACGGTACATCCACCTGGGACTCATCCTCAGAGGCTGTGCTGGGCGTAGGTATTCTGTGTGCAGCCAGGAGGGAGACTTGCTGATCTCAAACCACAAATGAAAAGTGGGAGACCCAGAATGGCATGTTGGGGAAGGACAAACGACCGGCTCTGGAAATCAGGGGAAGTCTGTACAGATTTGCCTCCTGTTTTGAGATTTCACTTGGATGTGAAGAGCTGACTGGAGAGGAAAGAAACAGAATACACTACAGGCTTTTACTGCTGAAGTGAAGGAAGAGGTAATGGGTACCTCATCCAGGGTGAAGTCATAGAACAAAAAGGCTCAATAAAGCTCAGTGGTGAGTGTCCTCAGAGGGGTGGAGAAGTACCAGCAACAGCTGGCCTTGCCACCAGAAGTGGCTGTGCAGTAAATGGAGGCAGAGGGTGGGGTGGGTGCTAGGTTATGTATCGGGCCTGATGTGCCTGATGAGTCAGGCACCCCTGGGAGACGCCTAGCAGTAATGGGACACAAGGATGGGAGCAACAAGAGAGGACTCATGCTGTAGATGAAATAAGTGCATTTCCAGGAGTGCAGGTCTCTAGGAAAGAGACAGCAAACTCATTCTCCTGGTCCACAAGCAAGGATTGTTTTGCTGGTGACTTAATTAATCCCACGTTTAATAGACAGTCTGTGCCCTAGGTGCAGCTGTTCATAGCAGTTGGGTTGGTCTCCCATGGGGTACCGTCTTTATCTTTGTCTCCCATGGGGTACCAATCAAGGGTCAAATAGGCGGCGTTGCTATGGTGAAAAGTTTTGCCTTCAACACTGCCAGTCTCATTTCCTTAGTTTCTCAGTAATACCTACTTGTCCGTTTGAGCACTTAACATCCTTCAACAAGTTGGTCCAAAGGCAATTTTCATTTTATTTCAGAAATAGCATGTGTCTAGTTCAGGTCATTCAGCATAGCTTCAGGTCTCCTATATTAACCAACCACAGAAGCAGGAAGTCATTCCAGTCTCCAGTTTGGAGGATAAAGCAGCCTCTGATCGGGGCTTATGGGAAGAGCAGAGGCTTCCCACCACACGCTACAGCTGGAAACTACAGGCCTGAGGCCAGAAAGCCAGCCATTCGAGTTCCCTGTGCCGTACGCTGCTTCAAAGCCCTATTTCTGAAACGTATCTACTCCTGTCCTTTTTTCTTCCAACTTTATAGGCTGTGTCAGCCCTGCTCCAGTCCCTCAGGCTGGTGATCTTAGACTCCCCCTTGTCTAGGCTTGGGGCTATACTTCAGTTTGATGCACACTTGTGTTAGAAGTTCTGGATAGTGAGTCCTAGAGCAACACTCATTGGTTTAAAAGTATTCAATATATCACATTTATAGCTAAGTCCAAACTCCTGTGTCTAGAGTGATCCCAAGTCCAAAATCTCCCTGTTGGGGACAGAAATTTCCCACCTTTCCCACTGTCCACTAAAACAAGGCTCTGCAGGGCTGAGGCTCCAAGAGCCCAGAGGAGAAGGGGCAATCCTTAAACGAGCCTCCTGCACATAATGCAGGGTCCATGGAGGGAAACAGTTACGTTGACTCCAGTGACCACGTTCTCCTCCTGTTATTACAGTAACTCCATTTTCATTATTTCAAAAATGGAAAGTTCTCTCAGGAATTCAAAGTATTATCGTAAAATACCAAATCTAGGGTTGTTGTTTTTTTGTCTTTGTTTTTTTTTTGTTTTTTTTTGTTTTTTTACCACTTACTGTCACACGTAATTTTAAAAAGTATCTGTCTTGCTAACCTAACTGCATACCTTACACTGAGGCAAATTTTGACCCAACTGTAATACACAGTCATACCCTCCTAACCAAATTACAGAGGCATGTGGCATGACTGTCTCACAAAAGGCAATATCAGAAGGAAGATGGTATTTTAAAATACACATACAGTAATTCTTGCTAGCATAAGTGCTGTCTCTTTTTGAAGTCTTCTTTTCTTCTACCTTCTTTTCTTCCCTGGAACCATTTTTAATCTCCATATACGTTTTAAATTCTTAAAGCTACTTATTTACAATACATTTGCTACTCTTCCTTCTTGTATTTTTTTTTCTCCTACACTTCTTTTATTTGCTCTCTGTAACTCTTTTCACCGGCTTTCTACTACAGAAATGCAGAGAGAAACAAAGTTAATATATGTGCTGTGCACAAGTGGATGATAGGACTCAACATTCAGACCCCAGCCCAACCCAGTAGTTTAAATCTTTCTTTAGAGAAAACAAGGTTCAAAACCAGGAGTAAGCTGGACAAGTGGCTCAGTTGGTTAAGAGCTCACTCAAGAGTGCAGGCTCTGAGCAACAGCGTTGCCAGTTTGATTCCCAGCCAAAGCTGAGCTGCTGCTGAGCTGCCAACAGGTGGCAGGATGGCTCAGCTAAAAAAAAACACACACACACACACAAAAACAGGAGTAAGTGTAGAATACCTTATGACTCAATGTGTTGAGAAATAACATTTGATCAATTTAATTTGTTTAAAAAAGCAGGAGAGTAGCTGACAGATAATTCCTGTTCTCTCGGTATTCTGAAAGCTTGAGTGGAATAGCCTAGGAGACCCCGTTCCCTCACCCAGATCTCTGCCTCTCCACTCTTGGTCCTTTTCCACCACTTCTTGACCAAAAGAACACTCCCTGCTTAGCACTACAAAGGAAGCGACACCAGCCCACTGAGGGTGCTCTCCCTCTGGCTCACTCAAGTTGTAGGAGATGACAATGGACAGCAGCGAGAGCAAGGTCAGCCGGAGGCCAGACCATGATGCTGTTGACATAACAATCAGAGAAATTTAGTTTTTATTTTGGAACCAGGAGCAGTTCTGAATTCTAGACAGAGCCCTTTGGAAGGCTGTGAAGGAATGAGTCCAGAGCAAATAAAAAGGGTTAGTGATGAGGCCTCCATAGTGTCTTGAGAAAGAAATTAGTTGGCAGGGGGAATGGAGAGCAGGGGGAATGGAGAGCAGGAGGCAGGCTGAACAGAACTCAGGACTGACCAGTGTGGGGAATAAGGAAAACAGAGGAATGAAGTCATGCTCAGGCTGGCAACTGTGGCGACTGGCATCCAAGGTCTCAGCTGATGAGCCTCATGTTTGTGTCTTAGTCTTGTTATTCCAAAGAGAAAGAAGATATTTGATGCTCATAAATTACTGAGCCAAATGCAGAACAAAAACCCTTTTATCATTGGCGATCACACACCATTTCCTACACAGAAAGTAGAGTGGAGAATTTTTTGGCCTCAGCCTACTGCTCAAAGACTTCATTTTTCATGTAATGTACAGCATACTGACTACAGTTAATAATGCAGGATTGCATATTTGAAAGTTGCTAAGAAGATAGACTGTAAAACTCATCACAACAAAAAAAATTTTTAAATATGTATGGTGATGGATGTTAACTAGACTTGTGGCTATATTTTTGCAGTACATACAAATATTGAATTGCTGTTTTGTATATCTGAAATTAATATGCTATTATCAATTATATCTCAATTAAAAATAAAGTAAAAAAGTACTTCATTTCTCAAATCCAATTAACTTTCTCTTTATGCTCAATTACCAACTACTCCATTACCAACGCCTCCACTCTCTAATCTTCATCTTGTCTCCACTCCAAGCAAGTTCTTCTACTTGCTGACACCTGAATATGACAAACATCCCCTTTTCCTTTGCCCACGCAATTTCTGGTATCAGAAGATTCACCCATCTAATTCAGCAAATAATCACTGGCAATCAGTGTGCAAGGTGAAGTAAAAAAAAAAAAAAAAGCTACATTACTAGCCAACAAGGAGGTCACAATACAACATGTATGTGTGCTGAGGCAAAAGCCCAAATACTGCCCTCGCTGCCTTGACCTATAGTTAGGTGGGCATGGAGGTATAAACAAAGTTTACTGCTGTTCACCGAAGGGAGCTGTCATATCCAGAGGGATCAGAGAAGTCTTCATTTGAGGTGTCCTCAGAGCATTTTAACAGGGACTTTCCCCATCATTTCCAGAAGGGCAGAGACCATATCTATTTTAATCAGTACTGTATAATATAGTACTTTGCATAGTACCTGCCATGTGGTCATTGTAGTGTGTTTGTGGTGGGGGAGGGAAGGTGGGTATCTATAATTGTAGATGAAAGCTACAGCATGGACAAAGACATGGAGGGTGGAAACGCAAAGGACATGTAAGAAAGAAACGCCATATTCTGCTGGAGCACAGACATCTATTAAAAAGAGCCACAGAGTCCAAAGAAGACAGGTGCATGAGAAGATGCCTGACATCACTAATCTTCAGGGAAATCAAACTCAAAATCACAATGAGCTATCACCTCACACCTGTTACAATGGCTATTATAAAAAAACACAAGAGAAAAGCATTGGTGAGGATGTGGACAAAAGGGAACCCTTGTGCACTGTTGGTAGGAATTGATATAGCTACAATGGAAAACAGTATTGAGGGTCCTCAAAAAATTCAAAATAGAACTACTAGAAATTCCACTTCTGGGTATATATCTAAAGAAAAGGAAATCACTATCTCGAAGAGCTATTTGCACCCCCATGATTACTGCAGCGTTATTTACAATAGGCAAGACATAGAAACAACCTAGGTGTCCATCAACAGATCAATGAATAAAGAAAATGTGATACACACACACACACACACACACACACACACACACACACACTGAAATATTATTCAGACATAAGAAATAAGGAAATCCTGCCATTTGTGACAACACGGATGGACCCTGGGCATCATGCTAAGTGAAATAAATCACAGACAGAGAAAGGCAGACACTGTGCAATCTCACATGTGGAATCTAAAAAAGCTGAACTCATAGAAACAGAGATTGGAATAGTGGTTGGCAGGGGCCGGGGGTTGGGGGACATGAAGACATGTTGGCCAAACTTTCAATTATAAAATGACTGCGTTTTGGGGATCTAATGTATAGCAAGGTGATGATACAATAGTTAACAATATACATTATTATATACTTGATTTATATTATATGTAATATATATTATAATAATGTATAATTATATACTTGACAGTTGCTAAGAGAGTAGAACTTAAATGTTCTCACCATAACCATACGCCATGCTATATCTCGATAAAAAAAGAAATTAAGCAAATAAGCAAATCAGGTGGATCAATGCCCTAGAACGAAAGACCTTGAATGGCATCAACTTAGTTCAGTAGGAAATGGAGGGATGTGGGGGCAGAAATCACAGGGAAAGTTTAATCAGGTTCTGGTGGCCTGCGAAGGATGTTCAGGGAGAAGTAGTAGGCGGAACAGCCATGCACAGGACTGTAGACGAGGTATAGGAAAAGGGGGCATAAAGGAAGATGGTGCCAGTGGGGATGGATGGACAAGGCTCACTGAGACCAGCTTGGCAGGACATGACATTGGACTGGCTGTGGGACAGGGGTGAGGGATCAATGAATGACAGGACCTTTGGGTTTTATGTGGTCCTCACATCACTTTAAAAACTGAAATTAATAGTTGACAACACTGAAAGAACCAAAGCTTAAATTTTCACATAAAAACCTGGATCTCTGGCTTCTCCCTAGAGTCACAAGACCACACGACACTGAACTTCGCTTTTGCCAACAGAAGCTGCTGGAGCTGAGAGCTGCCCTCGGGTGGGTGGAGACATCCGTCCTCCCCGCAGCCCCATCCAGCCTGGTTCACCTCTTAATGGGGCTTGTTGGCACTGGTGGGCATTTAGGTTTTCAAGCCTGACAATAAGACCCGAGTTTCAAGTGTGAAGGATCAAAAGACTTGCGCCACTCACCAAATTTAGAAATCAGGAAGAGCTCTTTTTAAGAAGATGATCCCCATAGATTTAGAAAAGCTGTGTCATCCACCTTATGTCCCTCATGACCTAATTCAATGCTCTCTGATTTTCTTAGCTCTCTAAGCTTAAGCAGAATTCAGTCTATAGTTGCAATCTACCAGATAGGAAGAGAACAAAATATTTTAGCTTCTTACTTTGAGATGAAACAAGACAAAGTTGAAAAACTATAGGGGGCTTTTGTTATATAACTAAGGGGGAAACAGACATTTTGGCACAGGTGAGTTTGTAAGCAGTGGCTGGCGGTAATGAAGTTTAGGTTCAGTAGCCAGATGCTAGGGTTGGACCCTGCTCTTACCCGGTGTCCTAGCTGTGGGATCTTGGGGCAGGGTATTAACCTCTTCTCTCGAGTGTTTCGTGTTTATAAATCAGGGTATATAGAACAGCACCTACCAGAGTAAGAGCTTAAAACATGTTAGCTATAATTAGTGACATCTTCTGAGAAAACAGCCTTCTGGAGCTAACTTTCCCTAGTTTCTGGCCAAAGGCTGGCCTGGGGACAACAGCAACGTTCAGATGCTAGTGGGATTTTTCTGTCCCCTAAATGTGCTTCTAGATTTGGGAATCCTCAGTCCATTCCCAAACCTGCTTCTTAATTTTATTTCTTGATTTAGGAACTACTGGTCATTTCCTTCTTCCTAAGCCTGGTCGACAGTTGGCCCAGCGACCAGATGTCACACTTAATCATGGCTCTAGCTGAGAAGTACTTCCCCCCTAAAAGGGAGATGTGAATTTGCTTTCCAAATCATCCTTCCCGGATCGTGCAACTGCCTCCCTCCTTCATCCTCTCCTTTGCAGACTTAAAGTCTGGTCCATTTCAGTTTCGTGTCACAATCACTAGCCATGCTATGCTGGGCAGGGTTATGCTAACTCCATAAAGCTTGAGGTCTTAAGCTCTGAAGCTTAAAATAGGAAATTCATGAAAATGTTATATTAACAAACCATTTAATCCTGGTTCTGCCACTATGTAGTTGTGACAAGTTATTGAACTCCTCTGTGCCTGTTTCTTCACCATTGACATGGAGAGAATGATACCTATATTGCAAAGCACCGGTCAATGGGACACCGAGGGTGAGGTGGAGAAAGCTGTTCACTCCAGGTGCAGCAGTGAGGGCTGTTTTGATTGTAGAGAGTTTATGAATAATCATAAAATGTACCATAATCCGTCTGCTTTCTGTTACCACTGTGCAATTCTAAATAGAATCGGTGACACAATACTCAGTCCCACCAGGGTGGACCGCTCCCACCACCACCTCCTCCCTTGGTATACCTTTGGTGTCAATTATATAGTATGCTCACAACAGGTAATGAGTTATAAACTAAAGATGAAAAAAAGAAGAAAATGCAGGATGTACAATAGGTGCAATGATATATACATGAAAGTGTCCACCTGGGTGCCCAGAATTTCTATCCCATAGCTGCTGAATAATTGAAAAGTTGACAAATTTACTTTCAAGCCACAAAATATATATCCTTTTAATTGCATCATTAAAGAGCATGCTTTCTTTAATCCATGATTCAGTTTGCTGAAATGGTCTTACCACTACTGATGAACAGGTCCATGAGCTGTTCCTTGGAGAAACTCGCATCCACTTGGGCTCTCACTATCTCACAGGAGAAACCTGCAGCAGTGTGTCTGTGCTGTGGTAAGGAAACAGACTGGTTAGTTCCACACACATTCGAATTATCAAGGAGAAAGGGAGGATATGCAAGTAATCAATACCTTCATACAGAGTGCAAGCTGTTGTGCTATGTAGTCTTGTAAGCTTCCTTCTGGGCCATGGAAGATGACATTATGATATTGCTCAACCTAGTAACAAGCCAAGAAGAGACCTCAGATGAAAATATTAAGTTCAGAAGAGAAAAACACAGTGGTACACAAGTGTGAAATTCCTTTTCTGATTGCCCTTTGCCTTTCAAAAGATTAAAATATTTTAGGGATTAGCTTTTTTCATTGTGCATGTCAAGTCTTTCATTTTAATGTTTAAACCTGGCAAATACTGTTTATATATTTATATAGTGTTTATATATTTCTAGTAGCAGATGGCATTTTGTGAAAAAACATACTCCTTCCTATTTTTTACAGTGGAGGTTCAATATATTAGCTGGGAACATAATTCCTAGCATATTTTGTCCATTGTACAATGGACATGTTCTATAACTTTTATTATCCCTTGTGGATGCTCTTCAGTTTGAGTTTTCCCAATACTTATTTTACTTTTCAGTGATTAAAATAGCAATGAATTTCATTAAGAGAGTTTTGGATAATACAAAGTAACACAAGAAAGCAGAATAGAAATCACTAAAGCAGCCACTGTAAATGTTTCCTTCTAGCTTTTCTTTGCAAAGTTGACATGTGTGTGTGTGTGCGTGTGTGTGTGTGTGTGTGTTTATATGCTTTTTAAGGACATATGAGTACAATATTTTTATAGCTGTTGTATATCAGAGAATATCTTCGTGTTGACTTTTTCCATACAAGATATCTTGATGAGGATAAAATTCTTTGATCAACTATATTATTCCATTCTGGAATTCAGTGTTTCAAAGAAGCCTAGGTAGAGACTGATCACTTTTACTT